TTCACAGTGGGTTTTCTCTCTGGAGGAAACAAAATCTAAAACGTATATGAATGCTTGTGAAAATATAAACTGTTTGCTTTTAAGTTTAGATACAAACAAGTGTTTCGGTCATACAAACTTTGATTTCAAAGGCTTAAAGAACCACCCGAGAAGGTTTCAGAAAGAACCACAGACAGTAAAGAAACCCTATTTGGCTCCCTCTTGAGACACACCACAACACAAAGAGATTCCTACTTCCATAGCTTACGCAGAGACATGTTCTTCTCTGTGTCTTTCTTCATAACCTTCGCAACAGCCATCTCAAAGTCTTCTTGTGTCACGTGTACTCTCCTCTCCCGTAGAGCAAACATGCCTGCCTCCGTGCACACAGCCTGACCGTAATAACCAGAAACTTAAGAGAGACAGACATATTGTAGAGAGAAAGAGAGACAAGCAAGATAAATTACAAAAAAACACTTTACCTTCAATTCAGCACCTGAAGCACCATTCATCTTCTCTGCAATCTTTTTCAGATCAATTCCACGCATCAAATTCATTTTCCTTGAGTGAATCTTCAGGATATCAAAACGTGACTGCAGCACATTTTAGAAAATTTCATTAGCCAAACATGTTTTACGACCTACCTATTTCTGTAGGAGTACTACTAAGTAGCTTCTAGTATCATTTTCTAAGAGGCAGAAGCATTACGTCTTCATTGGGATTAGGGAATTCAATTTTCCTATCAATCCTTCCAGGCCTGAGCAGAGCTGGATCGAGAATATCAATACGATTTGTTGCCATCAAAACCTGCAACAGTCATTTAAGAGAATAAATGAGCTTGTCTGTGAATTTAGACTACGATACCACAGACTCATCCTTTTCAGCTTCATGAGTTTTTTCCTTTACAAATTAACATTTGTCATGTACCTTTATTTTGTTTGACGCTTCAAATCCATCAAGTTGATTGAGAAGCTCAAGCATAGTCCGTTGCACCTCACTGTCTCCATTTCCACTTCCAGATTCCATACGAGCAGACCCGATACTGTCGATTTCATCCATGAAGATGATTGATGGTGCATGCTCCCTGTAAAACATAAACCAGTGCCACTAGGAAGGTAAGTAAACAATTCCATCTTTTCCTACCCACCATCAATTACCATGCTTGAAATTTATAACAGGGACTAGCATATACAAACCTTGCCATCACAAAAAGTTCTCTGACCATTCTAGAACCTTCTCCAATGTATTTCTGAACCAGCTCGGAACCAGAAACTCTGATGAAAGTACAGTCAGTGTGATGTGCCACAGCCCGAGCCAAAAGTGTCTTCCCAGTTCCAGGTGGACCATATAACAACACACCCTATAAAAAGAGGGAGATAAAATTATTTCTAATCAACTTAACTTCTCGTTACAATATAGAGAAGAAGCTTTGAAATGCATGTGTACCTTAGGCTGCGCAATTCCAAGAGACTCAAACAATTCAGGATGCTTGATTGGCAGCTCAATGACCTGACGAACAATTAAAGATACATAATATATAAAATAAATGACTGAAACAGCAGATGGATATAAAACAGTGACTATTAGTTTCGTTTTTTATTTCACTAGACATACCTCCTTTATTTCCTTAATTTGCTGGTCAAGACCACCAATCATGTCATATGTGGAGTCTGGAACCTTTTCAACTTTCATAAGGTTAACCAGCGGATCTACTTTACTCGGCAGGACTAGGTGGAGGACATAACTATCATTACGGAGAGCAACTCTCGTTGATGGTGTGATTTTCGTTATGTCTATACTTTTGTCAATATCAACAACATACTTCCCCTCCGGATGAACCTGAAAAATGGGAGTTTAGGCCTTATTAATAACCATGTTCATAAGATTACAAAACAATACAAAGCCAAGTTAATCATTCATACCTTAACCAAGACCTTGTTTTTTCCCATCACTTTTACCACTTCACCCACATAGGATCCAGGTTCCTGAAGAAGCTGCAACTCTTCTCTGAGCATTCGTACTGTTTAGTTGAGAGAGAATTTTAGTGTCAAAGAGGTTTGAAACTTCGAACTAAAAATTGTAGACTAGTAAGAAAACCCCCAAGCATAAATACGATCATGACGACAGCCAAGTCTGTTCTATAACATTAAATCTATTATTCAAATAATGGATTAGTTGAAATGAATCCTTATATGCACTTCTTCCATGAGTACATATTACTCAAATAAAAGAGTAAACAAAAAAAATCTCTTTTTGCAGGATGTAGTCCCATCTCAGAAAGTTTACAAGAAGCCAAAATGTGGCACTCTCATCATCACATTTAGCAGTATACTTCTTAACATGTTCCAGACAACAGATTCAGCTTAAACGATGAACCAAATTAACTATGCTGCTAGTGCTAGTACTGATAGCTCTCCCGTTCGTATCGGTTCTATCAACTCTTTCACTCATCCTCACCACAGTCACAACAAACTTAGCTAAACAACCAACTAAAAGACAGAAGCTGACACATACTTAACACACCCCTAGGGATCAAACAGAATCAAGAAATCGGAATAGGGTAACTTAGTGCTGCAAAAAAATCAAAATTAGAAAACATAGTGTAAACGTGCTTAGGTCCAGCTCTGGTAAAGATCAAACACAGGAGATGAAGAATAGCAACACACAGAAGATCCCATCACCACCCAACCACTTCCAGATCAGAAATTTATAAACTTTTTAAGAACCCACCTCCAACAAGAACGAAATCGAAACCCTAACACGGAATCCGAGATTACTAACATCCAATTCAACAGAGAAATCCGTCCGAAACTCAATGTAAATAAGAAGAAATTAGAGTTAAAAGAAGGAAGAAAAGACCTCGAGAATTGAGCTCGTTCCTCTGAGCTTCAAGGCGATTGAGATTGTTAGTCTTCTGCCGGAGCTGACGCTGGAGCTCATGGATGTGTTGGAGATAGTACTGCTTAAGCCCTTCTCCTTGTTTGGCCACCGATCCCTTAACGTTGCAGACTTCCTCCATCGCAGTCTCAGGACGCCTCGCGTCGACTCCTACCGTCGCCATTTACTCAGTGATTCCGCAAAATTATCGAAAGAGATCTCTAGAATTCTGATAAGACCCAGAAGAAGAAAAGAAACGGTGAAGGAGAGAGAATAAAAATTTCTTTGATCAGAATCTGAAACCCTTACGCAAGCAAAGCATTATTTTACATAAATACACGATTAAAAAAAATCAATAACTCATCAAGAAAGATTTCTATTTCGCAAAGCTTCTGTTTGCTTTAGAGTGTCTTTGGTGATCTAGTTGTTTCTTGTTTTTTGGGTCAGAATCAGAGTTACTCTTGGATATGGGAAGTTCTCTATGTAAACAAAATTTATGGCCCATTAAAATATAGGGCCCAATACTCTATTGGAATACTTTGTAGTAATGACAATTTCTTTTCCTTTCTTTTTAGTATATGTAGAATGTTATGTTATTATATACACACTAACAAAAATAAATTATTTTATTAATTTCTAGGATTAGAAATTTAGAACAGCATTCTGTTTTTGAAATATATAATTTTATTCAAAATTTGATTTGAAAATATATTTTTATCGAAAAGATATGTTCTAAAAATGAAAATAAAATTATAGACGTTAACTCAGAACCACTTTTGGAATAGAAAGATATTTATATTCCCTTTAATTGTATTATTTTGTTGATTTGATGTTTAAGAAAAAAAACAGTTTTTTTTTTGGCTCAACTTCAACTAAAATCGTTAACCAAATTGTTTACAATAAAGACATATCCGCCTCAACATAGACTTTCAGCCAACTTGGCACTATGGAATACAAATGAAAAACATAATTCTCGAAAGAAGAAGCTTCTCTTGCGATCCTATTGGCCACCATGTTCCCATCTCTTGAGAAGAAGCTGATCTTAGCCTGCTCCATTTGATGAAGTGCTTGTTGAACATCATTGTGTACTACTTGTAACACTGGCCAAGTGTTCTTCTCCTTCAAAGCTTCTACCAAGGCCTTCAAATTTGTCTCGAATACAACATTTGTGTATCCTAGAGAAGCCACTGTTCTGGT